TTTTCGACCCAGGTAAAGAAGAATCACATCAAAATTGGTGCATGGCATCAGCGCGCGGCTGATCCACCACAGGACTTCCCAAAGATTAAGTTGCCTGTCACACTTCCTTTATACTTTTCTTCCTGACCGGATCGCGTGAGAGCATTCAAAACAAGTTTGATGGTTACCAGAACAACGGATCTAATTAAACCATCATCAAAGTGATGGCTCATCCTTCCAGTAAGGAGCGCCTGTGACCGTAAAAGCGGGCCAAAGCTTCCAGGTCAAGAGCACTCCTAATGCTTATTAAAGCATTCCTAAAGAGCACCCCTCCGTCCCTTCTGCAAACCATCAAAGAGTGTCTAAATATTATAAGCAACACACACACACAAAGTTTATGTTTGAATACAAAATACAATCCCTAATATGTGAATAACACGTTGTATAAGTGTGTTTAAATAAGTGTAATATAGGTCTAGATTGACATAAAAGCATTAAAATAATAATTTCTATATCACATGACATCCAGGTTATTGTACTACCTCAGTCACGTTTTTATATTTCTTTGTATATGCTCACCAGGGAGCATTTTTTAAACATGTAATTGTCATATTTTTCAAAGGCTATTTCGGGAAACATTAAAATGAAATACTGTATTTGCATCCAAGTGGTTTTATTTATGTCATGGATCACTATAAATAGAATAGAATAGAATTTATTGCCATTTGCACAGATACATTAGTATAAGCACATTGGAATTCTTATGCATTTCTCCAACTCAAGAATAGTGAACGTTTATAAAAAAAGATGAAAAAAAAAGATAAAATAGGCAATATGTAACTCTGAATTATCCCTAGGTGTGAGTGAGAGAGTGAATGGTTGTCTCTTTTGTCTCTATGTGGCCCTGTGATGGACTGGAGACCTGTCCAGGGTGTACCCCGCCCCTCGCACAGTGATTGCTGGACATGGGCACCAGCGACCCCCGTGACCCAAAATGGAAGAAGTGGGTAAAAAATAATGGATGGATGGGCAATATGTACAATTAAAACAGATAGTATATGATATAAAGTCAGTTTAATTGTCCTGTAGACATTAGGGGGCGCCACTCTATAGCTTTTGACCTGTCCTGTCACCAAGTTCTGTGCTGAGGATTACTTTACTGAAGTGGACCATTAGATCTGATGTTTTCTTTATACCAAACATAGTTTAAAAAGTAAATAACATATGTGTGTGTGTGTGTGTGTGTGTGTGTGTGTATATTTATATATAAATATATAGTATTCATTACTTCATTACACACAATTTTAAAACAGGTTTTTAAAAAAGGTGTATTCGTATTATGTCTGTCAATTTGAAACGTGTCAAGAGGTGTAAAGTGGAGGATCATAAGTAAAACCCAAAATGTGCTGTACTGTAGTCTGTAAAGCCTCGGATAGGTTATCTGTTGTAATATTACTAATATAGACAACAATAACACATTGATAATATACTAAATGCAAAAAAAAACCAAAAAAAACCCTACAACAACGAAGACCTAACACTCCTTGAAGGAATGTATAACACTGTCTGCTTTTCTTGTCATGCTTTTAGAGCAAGATCATCTCATATTGGAAAATAATAGAGATGGAGTTGTTTTGGTCAAAGTTTGAAAATAACTTAGCAAGATGGCGTGCTCAGAGTATATGTCAGCTATCAGTGATTGATATTTTTATAAATACCAAAATGCATGCTTGAATGTCAGCACCCTGGCCCCAGATACATTCAGAGCTTATTGTTTAGCGCATATCTTATTAGATCCTTACTACTGTTTCTTTTAATACTTTATATTTTTAGTTTTGGGTGTAACTGGGACCTTGTGTACACATTTTTGTTCCACCTCATGTACCGCATGTAATATGACTTACAATAAAGACCTTAAACCTTGGGCTTCTTCAGGAAGTTATGATGGGAAATATTGGTAGATTATGTTTAGAATACTTAATAATATGTTCTTTTTTTTTTTTTT